TAGTCTAAATTGATCGAGAGGTGGGTGCGGGGTTGTCTACTAGATCGTGGAGGCCCTATTTTAAAATCGAGACGTGGTCCGAATTGACTTTTGAATATAATAAAAATAAAATGATTATAATATCATTATTCAAAATGTAATATCTTTCTATATTGTTTAAATTAAAATTGTCTTTTATCTCTTTGATTTTCGTATTCTCCATGAGATCCTTTTCAACTGTTATTATAGCTAAAATTATCTATTAAACACGTCATCATACTCATAATCAATCATTCATACACTATAAATACAACCTACAATATACGATCGGTAACTAACGAATCTAAATGAAGGCCCCTAATATTCGGAGGCCCTGTGCCGGAGGGCGGGCCAACACACCCTCTTTGCCCGGCCTCATCCCTGTTATATTATTATATTAATAAATTATTGGAATTAGGAAGCTATTATAATGGCTCAGTTTGGCCTTGCTGTAGATTTTGCAGAAGCAGCTTCTAGGTTGAACTTTTAGAGAAGTTTTTTGAAAAAAAAGCAGTTGAGTGTTTAGTTGAAAATTTATTAAAAGTGCTTTTTAAAATGAAAGGTTGTGTAAAATGACTAAAAAGAACTTATAATATAAACTATGAATAACAATTCTAAACAATAAAAATGTAGTCAAAATGGATCTCGTTAGACTTTTTTTATATTAAATAATATTATTTTATAGTTTACTTTATTTTTAAAATGATATAAATGAAATAAAATGATATTTTTTGAAATAAAATAAAAATATAGTACGAATAATCTTGTATTTTTAACACTGCTTTTCGCAGAAGTTCCAAATTGGAGTTTCTGCTTTTATGTTATACAAAAGTGTTTTTCAATTTTTCAAAAACCGAACTTTTAAAGATATTTGACCCTACTTTAGTTTTTAAAACCGAAAAATACTTTTAAAAGTCAGGCCAAACATAGGGAATATCTCTATGGCATATAACGTGTCCTCAGTAAGTATTAAATGTGAATAGTAAGTTCAGTGCGGCGGCAAATATCCCATTGATTTGGGATCTTTATTGTTGGCAACACGCGGCGGCCGGCTTCCGTAGGTAGTTCGTGCCGGCCTTCATTCGACCGAGTTGATGACGACCTAGTAGGTTACTAAAATGTTTTGCTAATTATATCATTGCCTAATACATTTAATGGGAACTCCTATAGTAATTTGGGTATAATTTCAAGTTAGTGTAACTTGTATAGATCTAAACCGTTAAAATCGACCAAACTTATTTTAAACCATTGATTAAAAAAATAAAAAATAAAAATATGGGACCTCCTATAGTGACTTTGGTATAATTTCAAGTTAGGTAACTTGTATAGATCTAAACCGTTAAAATCGACCAAACTTATTTTAAACCATTAATTAAAACAATAAATATAAATATAAAAAATTAATGACAACAGGGGGTTGTCGGTAACCACCAACGCCACTTACCTTTCTTAACATTTTTCTTTCCTTTTTTGCATTTAATTGTTTTTCCTTATTTAATTCTTTCCTTTTTTTAATTCTTATTGAATTAGAAGCATTACGTAAGGCTTCCGTAATAACTTAGCACTTTACATAACACGAGATTAATACTCGTTACGTAAAAGGACCTTCCATTACGTAAGGCTTTCGTAATGATCTTTTACAACTGTTACGTAAAATAAAAACCCATTACGTAAAGGTTACGAAACGATAGTTATTTCTTACGTAAAAGTGAAATTGTAAGCATTACGTAAACCTTCCGTAATGACTTAGCTCTTTACGTAACACGACGTTAATTCTCATTACGTAAAGAGACCTTCTATTACGTAAGGCGTCCGTAATGACATTTTCCAACTGGTAAGTAAAATACACATTCATTATATAAAGGTTACGGAACGATAGTTATTTCTTACGTAACAGTTAAATCAGAAGCGTTACGTAAGGCTTCCGTAATGACTTAGCACTTTACGTAACGTGAGGTTAATACTTATTACGTAAAAAGACCTTCCATTACGTAAAGGTTACGGAACGAGAGTTATTTCTTACTTAACAGTTAAATTAGTAGCGTTACGTAAGGCTTCCGTAATGACTTAACATTTTACGTAATGTGAGGTTAATGCTCATTACGTAAAGACGCATCCTATTACGTAAGGCTTCTGTAATGATCTCTTACAACTGTTACGTAACCATTACCACATGTTACGTAACCATTACGTAATGCGACCTGTGAAACCTGTTGTTTTTGTCGTCATGTCTTTCTATTAAATTAAGGAATTTCCTACGGTAACTTTAAGTAAGGTAACTTGAATTTTTTTACCTGCTATTTTCTATTAAATTAAAGGATTTCCTACGGTAACTTTAAGTAAGGTAACTTGAAGTTACCGTAGGAAATCCCTTAATTTAATAGAAAGACATGACGACAAAAACAAAAGAGTAATAACCAGGAGAAATTATTTTTCGTGGTTCCCTTAAAATTGGGAGGAGGCTCCTGGTTGAAGAAGAGAGGTTCGTAATCCTGATAGGCTAAAAGATTATTCGTTGCAAAATTGAAAACTACCCAATAAGTGGACAATTACCAACCTTCATTCATATATCTTATTATATTTGGCAAACCAAGAATATTCAGTGGCCATGTCACTTCTCTAGTACTATTTCAGTTTTATCGAATGTTCCTTTCGAAAAAACTTGAATTACTTTACTTATATATGGACAAGTTTCGAAAAAATTTAACATAGACGAAAACTCTCAAACAACTTAAGACCCAACCCAAATCATCTGTCAGTGCTGAACTACTGGCCTTATAACTTATAAGATCATTTAAGTCATTGTAATTAGATCTATTGGACAACCTGATCATAAGTGAATTGTTTAGTTGTGAAACACTTTCTTTCTCACAGTAACTTTTGGTGTATATTGTTTCTTCTTTCTTTCTTTCACTTGATGATGAGCATAGAGCAGTACAAAGCAAATCTTTATTAGTTATTAGTGGTTAAACTGAATGAAAACCATGTTGTTGAGGAGAGTGGGGAAATAAACAGTACAAGAATTCTTTCTCTGGGATTCTTGGTTTGATTCCTTTTTTTGAAAAATGTAAAAGGAAAATTCAGAAAGGCAAGCTCCATGCCTCCGGTCCTGGGCGAGCAATCAGGACGATTCATTGACTTTAACTTGCCCTAAACTAAACCGGTAAGAATTTTCTGTCGGCACCTTGTGCCTTTCATAACTACATTGGTTATTTTGCATCTATCCAAAATAATTGAAATATATTCAAATTAAGAAGTAAGTGTGGTCTTAGTTAACAAATGAGTTGTGAATACGACGGTTATTACATTTAATAAATAAAATGACATGCCAAGAAAAAAAAATTAAAATGGACAGTTCAACGTGCCATAATAATTAGGAGAAGAGAAATTAAGAGGAGCGGCTGCTGGCTTGGCTTGGCTTGATTGGAGAAAACATGCAAACGATCGAGGAGGTCAAACCAAACCAAACCAAACACTTGGAAATTCCCTTGAGTTGAGATCGATTTTCCACTGCTGCTCAGCTTTTGCTGTCCGGCCAAGTCCATTGTTTTGTTTCCCTTCGCTATCTATCAAAGTAAGTGAAAGCAATTATTTGGGGCTGGCTGTCGGTTCCCTTGCTTAATTATCGTCTATTTTGATGTGTGATCTTCATGGCGCAGAAACAATACAACGGCCCTTGATTGATTTTTGTTCATTTCCATGATTTGTTCCTTTTGGAAATGCGAGGTTTGACTTTTTGACTGCAAATTCGTGGTTCTTCTCTTTAGTTACGCAATTTCCCTTCACAGATTTTCTCCACCAAAACAATTGTGTTCACACTTCACATATCACTACTAGGCACTAGCTGACGTAAGCTTGTTATTTTTTTCTTTTCTTTTCCACTCTTAGATCGACAAAAAGCACACATGTATTCACCACTGAAAACTCAGTTGATTCTGGTAACTCTAGTTGTTATAAGATGTTACGGTATGAATTATGGATATCAGATAATTCTTCTTACGTGTCCTCTTAAATGAAAAATAATCCATTAAATACCGTCTACCGATTTAGCTTCCGAAAGAAGGTTTTTCTGGTCAAACCGTACGATTTTTTAATCTTTAAGTATCATAGACACATTGGTTTGAATCCACGGACATAAATTGAATCGCTCTTTGAAAAGGTGTGCCTTTCTTGTGTGGATTCAATTAGGGGTGGAGGTCGGTGAAGTTGTGGTTAACCGGACCACATTTAGCGGTTAACCAATCACAAATCTATAAATATCCTGACCACAAACCGCACCATTGTGGTTAGTGATTAACCACTAACCACTTTGGTTCGGTGCGGTTATTTTGTGATTAACCGCAAAAAATCATTTACCAAACTCATAAATCTATCTATATTTTTCTTATATGTTTGTTATAAATCGAATTTTTTTAGAGAGGTACAAAGATGACATAAACGATAAAAAATGAGAATCATAAAACTATTAAAGGTAAATACACCTTTAAAAACAATTCAACACCATTCTTATTGAATAAGACGTTAATACTTCAATAATTAGTAGAAGTTAGAATCTTCTATAACTAATTCAACAATATAACAAATAACTTATTAAAGTGCTACCTACTAAACAAGTTCTCTTAATTTTATTACCGTACTTATTAATAATAATTATTTTTAAAAAATGATAATATTAATTATTACATACTAATACATATAAAACTAAAACTTCAACGGAAACTGTAATTTGTGCGGTTATTGTAGTTTGACCGCAATGGTTAGCGGTTAACCACTAACCGCAAAATCAAAATTTAACTAACCACAATAAAACCACTAACCACAAAATGTGGTTAGTGGTTAGCCAAACTATGTGTGGTTAAGTGCAGTTTGTGGTTAAACCGCAAACCACAAACCAAACTTCCACCCCTAGGTTCAATGCTTCTGTGGTTTCCATCAGGCCCGGACTGAATTGGTCTTCGTTTCACCAATCCAACGTCGACTATGGCCCACGTTAGTTACTGGCTTCCAGAATTGGGCTTCTCTATATGGGCCACTGTACTAATGTGGAGCTCGATTCGGAATTTGAAGCAATTACCTGGAACAAGATTGTGGTCGATGTGCATGACGACGATCGCCGGAGGAAATCCCAGTTTCCCCTTCTCCCCCTGATTCGCGCTACAACTCCCAGGTTGGGGTTACTGTACCTTCTTCCCCGTATTTTAGTTGCATCAGAAGTCAGCTATGGCGGTAGTTTCTTAATCGCTTACACAGTGCTTTGCCTTTGATTTTTCTCTTTAGGAATCAGAATGAATCCTGTTCCTTTCTCCGTGCCTCAAGCGGCTCGGCAACCTTCTCATTGGACACCGATGTTGCCTCCCAATCCACCGCATTCAATTGCATTTTGGGAGAACAGGAATGTTCACGAGCGGCAGAGGGAGCTGCAAGAGACTCTGGTTCTTGCAGAAACAATGTACACATTTGACTGATTGTTCGCCATTGAGAATGAAGAGCTTTGCTGCTTGCGACATTATTCGTAATCGAATTACTGTTTTGCATCAGGCAAAGAGAGCTAGAGGCGCTGGCAAAGCTGAAGTCTATCGAAGGATCTGGGGAAGACAGGGATAGGGTTTCCACTGAACCTATGGCTTGCGAGCTCTTCAAGTGTCTAGATGACAGGAAAATTGATCTAGCAGCACAAGAAAATGTCTCTGTCAGTGCAGCAAATGATTTAATGTCGAGGTTAAGAGCCCAGCTGGAGCCGTTTCGCTATATCGTGGACGAAACAACCCCCTGGGAGGAGAAATCAGCAGCAGTTAGACTATCTGAGAAGTTGCTCAAGTCCAAGAGGAACAAACGTTGGAGAAAAAGAAAACGAAAACTTGCTGCAGAAATGCATGCGAAGGTGGGGTTCTTCTCTCAGGGATTTTCTCTCCTTTCTTTTTTCTGTTTGATGGGTAATATTGTTGGGGTAATTTTAGGCGGATGAACGGTTTGAGCAAGCTGACAGGGAAGCTGATGAATGGAGGGCTAGGGAGATTGCTAAGGAGGCAGCACAACTCAAGGTAACTGAATTTTAGGAATTTTCCCTTGTATATTTGATTTGCAGTGGGAACTCAAAAGGAATAGAAATGTTTTGGATTCTCTTTTGTTTCGCATACTGTGCTTTTGAGAAGTCAGGTCAGAGTTAGAAACGTAATACAGCTATCGTGGCATATGTAACATGACCCTATCGATGAAATTTTCCAATAGTTCGATTGATGTTATTGGTTGTTTCTTGGTGATGCTATTTATGTGCTACAAATAGGAGACTGACCCTTCCAAGATTTTCAGTAGAAGCTTATGGCTGAATAACTTTTGCCTTGACTGATTGGTTGCAGGTGGAAAGTATGAATGCAATTGCAAAGCTTAAGGCTAAAGAAGAACGAAAGAGACTCGAATCTGAGGTGAGATTGGTCGTACATGCTATGGTGATGTTAGTTTTCTCTACTAATCAAGAGTCAAGACTACCAATCTCTCCAGAACTAACCCTTCCTATGCATGCATGCTCCTCGTGGATACTTCAATTGTTTTAATCTATTCACAACTTGTTGTGGTTTTTGTTCTCATTCTATGTTAATCGCGATTTCGAAGTGGTAAGACTCTTAATGTTGAGATGGCATGACAAGAAAGGTCTTTTATGAGTTTGAGGTCTTGGTTGTACATCTTTATTAGAAAAGGAATCCCGGAACATGCTGGACTTCATTTTAGATGTATGGGATGATTGAAGGAGAAGTCTGCTACCGAAACCGTCTTTGTTTACTGATATGAGTTTAGTGACTAGTGTCTTATTCACGGTGGATGCTCTAGTGTCTTCTATTTACCCTGTTTCCAAATGAACCTTATTTGTATCTCAGACTTATGTCATCTGCATACCCTACATTTCAGCTTGAACTGGTCTTGATGGTTGAGAAGTTGCAAGAGTTGCGTTCCTTGAGGATCCAAAAATTAAAGAAACAAGGTACCGATGATAATTTTCGTTGGAAGCTAATTTCTTTGCTCTAAATTTACTCCAGCTATTTTAAATTCATTATTTTATCAATATGCATTTCTTGTATCGCTGATCATTAGATCAAAGTGTTCTGGAGTCTGCTGGTGATCTTAGTGTCTTGAACTAAGGTTTGTACTGAATGATTATGCAGGACATTTTCTACCTGAGGAGGACGACAAATTTCTGGAGAAGGTCCAAGCTGCAGCTGAGGAAGAGGAGCGTCTGGCGCAGGCTGCAGCTGACACAGATGCTGCGAAGGATGCAATTGCAACTGCTTTAGAATCAAGGAAAAGCATGCAGAGCAGTGGGTCTGTCCCAAAGGAAGCAATAGGTGATGTTAATCAAGATAGAGGAAGCCTAGACCAAACAATCCAAGGAGAAGAAAGGATAGGCTCTGCTGCAGAAAGTGGTCCATCCGGAGAGAAACCACCTGAAAGTCATAGTTATGGCGGAGGATTTAACACGGTGGAAAATTTACCAATTGAATTCTATCATTATTATCATGGAAGCAGTAATGACATGGGGACACTCATTGAGGTGATTCTCAGTACATCCGTCTCTTTTCAACAAAAAAGATTTTCTCATAGAATATGGCTGATGATTTCTAGATATGATTTGTCTATTATATGGGAGTAGTCAGTAGACAATGGGATTACCACTTCATGTAGTTTTGAATTTTGATGTGATTTATTTTTACTTTGCAGGTTAGAAGGGTGTGGGATGCATATTTAAGGCCAGGAGGAAGGTGAGCGTGCTAATGCTATTTGTCTGAAACGTACAAAGGAATATATTGGCATTCCAATTTGCATTACTCATAGTTCTTTTCATTGTCATAAGACTTCTTTTAAGCATCTTGGTTTTGTATGATCCTCTTCTAATCTTCGTCTGGAACTTGAATGCAGTCGTATACCAGGGCACTGGATCCAGCCACCACGCCCAGCAGATGATACATGGGCATCCTACCTTGTTAAGCCTAAATGACCAGTTCTCTGTTATCTATCAAGTGCCTGATTTGCCTTTAAAGAATAATTCCCGTCCCATTTGCAAGCTTCCATAGATTAAGTCTTGTGATGATGGCAACCGCAGAGCTAGAGAACTGAAACAGCAAACAATTTTTTGGCTGGTTTCACAATGACATAGATTTATCCTGGTATATAACAGTGGGGTATAGATGGAGGCCATTGCAAACAAGGTGCTTGATCGGCAGAGTCCAGCATCCATTTGCTAGTCATTTGGATTTCTTTCCTGCCCTTCCAAAAGTGTTTTAGTGAAGCTAGTGAGAGAGGGAGAAAGAGCGTCGACCGGAAATCATGTGGATGATATCTTGTCCTCTGATCCAATCGTCATGGCTACCAGGAATCCATGTTAGTAAATCAATCCCCTTTCTCACTGCTCCATTTTGTTTGATCATGATTCTGATTGATCTTATCTTATGTATGATAATTGTGTTCTGAATTCGTTGAATATGTAGTGAATTTTTTTAGCATTCAAACATCTCTCGTGATGATTACACATTTATTAATTTGGCATGTCGTGCATTCTGCCATTCCTGCCTTTGCTTCTTGATCCATTTTGTGGTAGCTCAAGATATGAACTGTGTTTCTTTCTATTATTATGTTAATGCTCATCCATCTGTGGGCTCTTTTTTCCAGAAATGGAAAGACTCAATAAGGTGATCTTGAATCTTCTTCCCAAAACTGCTAATACGCCCATGGGGGTGTATGTTATCAAAGTCACGCAGCAAACGACTCAATCGAAGAATCGATTGAGCTCGAATCAAGAACAACGCGTTCTTAATACGAACTTGGATAAAACGGAACCAAAAGGACAAATCCACACCTGGGGATAGCTCGATTGGTATAAAAGGGTAGTTGCTCGACCACGATTGAAGGGAATATTCAATCGATACAAAGCTCAGCAAGTTTGGAATCCACCAAACCCAAAACAAGTCGCAACTTGCACAAACCAAACGGTTTCGATTTCTATTCAACAAAGTCTTAATTTTACAACGAAATAGCATGGTATTTAAAGGCAAATAAAACCTAATACAATCATAGTATAACTAGGAAACAATTAAGGTAAAACCAAACGGTTTCCGGCGAGTTCTTCAAAATTGGGGCTTTCACGTCTAGGCCACTTCGAGCCAATTCTTCACTTCCAATCGATCCGCCTGGCTCCCATGAGTCGTTTACACCCATTCCTATGCTTCTATTCCGCCCAAATCGCGTCAATTCTTGGTTTCCTGATTTCCCGCCGTCGGATGATTCAAATTCTCCAGAACCCGGCGAAGGATTTCCAGAAATCGGCGAGTTTAATCACAACTTGGGCATTTTCAATTCTGGCTCCCCCTCGTCCAATTGATCGTTGCTACAGCTTCCTTGGACCTCGCCAAACTTGTTCCAAGTCTTCTTATCGATCGAATCGCGCCAAATCTCTCCAACCGATTCACACTTGTCGGCCTCATTGTTCTTCGCGTTTTGGAACAAACGTTCTGAATTGGGCGTTTTGGCCTCATCGTGCCCCGACCCAAATTGATCATCACTACACGTTCTAACCTTGTTAACGAACGCGTCGACGCTATTAGCTTCGATCGAGATGGTCCCATCTGTTCCCCCCGTTTCACTCTCTCTCCTGCTCTGTACCACCGTTTCCAGAGGCATTCCTGCGCGAATCAGCTTCTTCGTTTCAGCTTGCTGTGGGTTTATCTCTTCCGTCGAAATCATTTTTGGAGTCTGTAGGATCGTATCGGAGCATCCGATGGCGTTCGAATCTTTCCTGAGGTCTCCAACCACTTTTGTGTCTCTCATGCTCTGTTTCGTCAGCGACGAAAAACAGAGGTCTCCGACAACTTCTTCAACGCGCTAGAACTCCAACTCCTGCAATGGCGGCTCTCTAGTTGAATTTTCCACTGCCTTAGCTCCTTCCTCCTCGTCACGGAGCTGTTGCAGCAGGGTGGCCCGATCTTCAGCCGCTTCCTCTGGCGACAGAAACTTCAAAGCAAAAATTGCTCCACAATGTCGCAATCTCACGTGGTTCGTCCTTCTGCTCCGTCGAGCATCGTGGAAAACATGCCAAGGGTGACCAAGAATCACATGAGTCATCTTCAGGGGCACCACGTCGCACCGAACGACGTCTTCGTAGCTTCCGATTTTGAAAGGTAAGGTCATCTCCTCTGTCACAAAAACAGAGCTTCCTGTTTCCAGCAATGACGTTGAGTAAGGAGCTGGATGCTTTCGAATTGGCAGCCCCAATTTCAACACTGCTCGTGAGCTAATCAGGTTTGATTTGCTCTCTTCATTGATGTACACAAAGAACACCTTCTCTCCCACCAAACAGCGAGTATATGACGTCAAATTCGCTTGTTCCAATTCGACCACCATGGCTGCCCTGTTTTTCGACAAAATCTGCTTGTACGAATCAACACGTTTTTGCCTCTTCCTTACCCTTGTGTAGAACCGGGCTCTGATACCACTTAATACGCCCCTGGGGGGTGTATGTTATCAAAGTCACGCAGCAAACGACTCAATCGAAGAATCGATTGAGCTCGAATCAAGAACAACGCGTTCTTAATACGAACTTGGATAAAACGGAACCAAAAGGACAAATCCACACCTGGGGATAGCTCGATTGATATAAAAGGTAGTTGCTCGACCACGATTGAAGGGAATATTCAATCGATACAAAGCTCAGCAAGTTTGGAATCCACCAAACCCAAAACAAGTCGCAACTTGCACAAACCAAACGGTTTCGATTTCTATTCAACAAAGTCTTAATTTTACAACGAAATAGAACGGTATTTAAAGGCAAATAAAACCTAATACAATCATAGTATAACTAGGAAACAATTAAGGTAAACTTATACACTAAAAAGGACACAAAATTCGGGTTTAAACTTCCTTTCTTGAAGCACAAGTAAGCTGCCCGCAAAACAGTCAAAAGGCAGCTTTCGTACTAACTTTGTGCCTTGCGTTCGAGGCCTTCCCGAACTCTAATCTTTCATCCGATTCCTTCCCTTGGTAGATAAACATACCTAGTTTCATGTTGTGGAAGCCTTTGGACTTGAATCAGATCCATACTCCTCGAATTGAGCTCCAAAGTAGGCTTCACAAAACAGTTTTCTGCCTTAGCCATTTTCTGGCAGTTTTCCAGTTTTGAGGTAGCAACTTTGAGGTCTTGGAAAACAATCTTAATGACATCATCTGGCTTCAAAAAGCATATCATTGGAAACATGAAAACTTTATCTACAATACAAACCCTTGAACTGGAATTTCCATCAAGCCAATTGAGAGAACCATGCCTCCAAAGTATGTACCCTGAGCACGAATTTTGACTTAGCCAAATTCTGTCTTTCTTCTTTCCAACCTTGATAGCTTCTTTGGCAAGTAATTATGACTTGTAGAAGTGGCCAATTTGGATCATATCAACTGCTGCTCGAGATGCTACAAGCAACAGAGTTCATATCTTACGTGGATCGCTAGTTCAGGTCAGAAGACCATGTAGCCATGGACAATTGAGAAACAGATGCGCAATTTAATCGTCTGAAGGTGGTCAGCTAGGGCAAACGTTGTGTATTCTTTTCAACAAGAAAAGCCTGTTGTGTAAGGGGGCACAGCTGCTCTGTGCGATGTTTGCGCCAACCCCGAGTGCTTCTAACATAGAAGTTTCACTACATATCTAAAGTTTGTTTTCAGCCAGTTTAAAGGCTAACTTTTCATCATTCATGATATATGTGATGCCCCTGAGGTTGAGTATTGAATAACTGTGAGAATCCATTGTCGATGCTACCCGATCAAGTTCTGAATTTCTGATTATGCTGCTCGGATGGCAACTGCTGCATGAACCTACACAGAAATTGTGTTTCATGAGCTCTATTGTCGTCCCAAAGCAGGAACTCAATCTAGTCTTGTATGCTGTGTTGGCTAAAGATGGTAAGGAGGTAACTGTCTTCTTGTGCGTTCAAACATTAGGCAACAGAACAAACCCAACCAAAAGCCTATGTCAGGTTTGAGAAAATTGGTGTCAAATTGATAGAACATCAGTTTGGGAGGATTGTATGGTTGGTCAGTGAGATTACAAAAAATGTAAATGTTTGGTCACTGAAAATATTTAAATGCAATCTTGGTCACTCAAATTAGTTAAATGGTTCAAATTTGGTCACTCTCCGTTCAATTCCGTTAAATTTATCTGATGTGGCAGTCAACCCTCAAAGTTGACCGTTAACTCGGTGACGTGGCAATTAAAAAATAATAAATAAAATAAATTTTAATCTTCTACCATTTCCAACTCATCTTCACAATAAAGTAAAATAAACAAATAATAAAAATTATTATAATCACAAATTTTCACAATAAAGTAAAATAAAAAAATTATGATAATCACAAATTGAAAGAGTAGCTTCCTCCTCCGCCACCACATCCCTTCCCGCAACCAAATCAGCTCCCAATTCCTCTGTCGCCGGCAGCGGGTGGAGCTAGGATGAATGACAAGAGTTTTTGGACGTACGCTGGGTAATAAGGGGACTGAACGCGAAAAGCGTCGCCGGCGTTAACGAGGTAGAAGGTGATGAGCTCGTTGGCTCCGGTCGCGCCGCCGCCCATCACGATCCTCTCTGGATCAAACCTCACCTTCTTCCCCCTCGCTCGCATTGTCATCTGCAGCCTCCTGATCCTTCGAATCAGCCTCCGGCCCGTCGGCTGGTGCTGGCGAGTCAGCATCACCCCTTTCTTGAATCTGAGCAGGAAGGCCTTGAATGGGTCGTCCATGGGGCAGAACACTGTCAATCCTCCATCCATGCTCTCCTACAGAAATAGGGGAATATTTCAGGGCAAACAAAAGTCAAGCGGGTCACATGGCGCCATGGCCACGCCACTGAGATTTGCGATTAACACCAGCGGAATTTCATCAATTAAACAGGTGAAATCAATCAATTAAAAAAATTGTGGGAAATCAAACGAATTCGACTGGGTAAAAAATTGAGAGGAAGAAAAGGAAATGTGTATTACCTGGAAGGTCTTGGAAGCATCAGGAGAGGCAATAAGAGTGTCGGCGAAGACCTTAAACCCATGTGCCGACATAATGCCGGTCAAATTCATGGCGGCCGGCGCAGGGGAGGGCGCTGCGGTGACGTTGGAGGGGAGGATCTTGCTGATCTGGATGACGTTGATGTTGTAAGGGAGCTCCTCGACCCCCTTGACAAAGAAGGCGTCGAGGGAGCCACCGTTGTCCTCGGGGCCGAGGGCGACCCTCCCGCCTTTAATGTCGGTGATGTTGACGTATCCAGAGGAACCGGGGGCGGATCCGATGGCCTGGAAGAGGGTGGCGGCGAGGGCGGTGCCGTTGGTGAGCTGGTGGAGCTTCTTGGGGCCGAAGTAGTCGAGGAGGACGTGGAGGGAGAGGATGTTCTTGACGGTGTTGATGGACGGCCAGTTGAAGAGGAGGGAATTCATGGCGGCGTTGTCAAAGGCGCAGACGGTGATGGTGGTGCGGCGGTTGATTTCGTCGGCGAGGTGGGTCAAGGTGAGGTATTGGTTGAAGATCGCGAACTCCGGGTGCTTGACCAGGAGCGTGGTAATGTTGTGACCAGGAGCGTGGTACTGCTCGTCTTCACTCTTCTTCCTCGGATGGTTGTCGGCGGCGGCAAGCAGCCGGAGATGGTGAGGTTTCGGAGCGCCTCTATAATTATAATT